TTAAGTTAGTCTTCAGTACGTTTAAACTCAGAAACATGTTCAGTGTGAAAGATTCAGTACCGCTAGGTCTACGTTCGCGTGTCATATATAAATTTTCATGTGCTGGCTGTAATGTCAGTTATATTGGTGAGACCACTCGCCACATTTGTACACGAGTTCGTGAGCACCTCTTGTCGGACAAAACTTCGCATATTTACAAGCACCTGCAATCATCAAGGGCCTGTCTTGACTCTTGTGATACTGAATGTTTCACGACCTTAGATTCTGCCCCTTCAAAATACCAAATTAAGATCAAAGAGGCATTGCATATTAAGTGGGAAAAACCCATCCTTAATCAGCAATTGAACCACCTAGAATTGTCTCTTTCCTTTTAATTATGTTGTTCCTTGGTCTTTTAATTTATTTTTATCATTATTGTATTTAATTATTTATTTTTTGATCTAGCCAAGCGCGCGCCATTTACATTTTTCGCGTTGTTACATTCAAATGTAACGTAAGCCCTGACACATAGTTTGTAACGTACCTTAATTTAAATTCAAATGTACAACAGTTAAATGCTCATTTGCAACTGAAGATGACATGAGAATGTCCAAACATGTCTTGTAAATTTAAATTCAAATTTGTTGTTTCTTTTTTGAGAGTTATGATCACTATTGGTAATTTTTCGAGGGGAGAGCTCCTGTGCCGTAGCGAAATTGTCAATTATCCACACACAAGTATAATTCTGACACGCATATTAATGGGTTAAAAGTTTGTTGAATGAAGGAATTCTAATAAATAGTAGTAAAAATGAAAAGAAGCGATTCAAGTGTTTTAGTACTTTTTCTTTAAGCCGCAACAATTTAGGGTGCCGGATTATGATGTGCGGGAGGTCGAGGGTTCAAGCCCCGGCCGGACCAATACTCATGGTCTTGAAATAACCGAGGAGAATTTGCTACCTTTCTATAATATCAAGAAATGGATAGAGATACTATTCTTTTCGGATAAGGACGAATTAACCGTAAGCCCCGTCTCCTGCAGGGTTAGGGGACATTAATTTCCCACGCACGAGATTACTGTGTGGTGGATGTCCTCCCCTGGGGTGGGATGGGTGGGGAAGATAGCAGGTGCACGTCAGCAAATTGCTGCCATAAACTCAACCTGCTCAAACAAATAAAAGATGAATCATTTTACTTCGTGGTTTCCCTACCCTTCTCGTTTTTTTTTTTTTTGCCTTTGTTCTCTATGATTTTGCCTTTCTCTATAATTTGTCTAACCATAGGGGATAAATAAATATCACCACAAAGTATCAATCGTTTTACAAAATTTATTCTACACTGATCTATAGTCTTCTGGCTTTACAATTATTGAAAGCTTTATCTTGTGATGCTGCAATACAACTCATCGATATTTCATATTATCATACTAGTAACAGGCCTTAAGTTTGCGCAAAAATACACTAATATTTACAAGATCAATCTCACCCTACAAAAAAGCTGTTTTTTTCTGCAGTGTTATTGCTTCTTAAAAACGTTTGACATGCTTTGCTCTCAATAAACATGTGTTATGACTAGCTTTTCCTCTTTTCGAAATTGGAACCTTTTCAAATAATCTTGCTGCCGCGATGTGCGCTTTACAAATTTAACGTTCTGTTTGACTGGTTGTAGTTCGGTCAGAGTCGGTTTCCTATCAGGTATTTGAATACTACCTAGTTAACAACCTAATGGGTCAATGCTACTGTATTCCAAAATGTAAGTGAACCTTCTTATGGACATTCTTATTTACATTAACAAATGAAGAAAAATCAGCTGCTATGAGAGAGCAATCATAATCTAAAATGATCAACGACCAACCGACACGATAGAACAACGATCCAAGACAATTACCTAGAAGTAAATAAACTTTCAGCGATCTGAAACGAATTACAAATTACAGTAAAACGAATTAGAGTCAGGGCCCAGTTGTTCAAGGGGTGGACGATGCTAGCCAATGGATAAATTGCTATCCAGCGGATAAGTAGAAACAAAATGTAGTGCATATCCACCGGATAGAAGTTTATCCAGAAGATAGCGTTATCCATCCTTCGAAAAACCGAGGCGTGATAGGTAAGCTCCCCACCACCCGTCGTTTGTTAGTCGTCATGCAACGTTTCTCTGGGCAGAAGCATTGCGTGACGACTCAAATGAACGAGTGGATTTCAGATGGTAAAGATAACCGACTACCAAGAGACAAATGACCGCGGAAGGTTTCAGAAGACTTCCCCGGCGTTGATGAAAATTACCGAAAGATAACAAGCATGAAAGATGTTTCAAAACTTTCTGATGATGACTCGAAGACTACAGTTGGATCATAAGGAACGTTTCGTACTATTCTCAACCTCTTGTCGCAATTGTATGAAAACTAGGAAAATTATATAATTAGAAAACATTAGTGTTGATCATTTTAAGTCATTTTAGGTCATTCCTACTCTCAGTAGCCACACAGTTTCTACGGGAAGAAGGTCGGTAGCGAATCATAGTTGTTCAATGGTTCACAAGTAGTCCTGCTAGGAACCTGAAAACCAGTTGCCATCTGCCGTCCTGGTTGTTCTCGGAAATAAAGTTCCTCAATTCTGTTTCATTCATGGTGGTGGCTAGGTGCCTCGCAGCGAAAAACTCTTGTATTGTTAGATGAATGAAACAGAACTGTTCTTGTTCTGACGCAGCAGTTAGACGGTTGGGTAAGCGGTGGAAAAAAACACTGTCTTCAACTCCATCTACTTCGTTTCCTCCAAGGATCGGCTGTCCTTCATTGATTCCTTCAAACGCCACTCTTCCAAGTATTCTGAATTTCTCCTCCACTTGGGTGGGCAAATCGTCTGATTCAAAATCTCCTCGTGAGTAATATTTTTCGCGGAATCCTTTTGTATGTTTATAGTAAAGCAACTTCATTGCAATCTTGTAAACCTTTACTAATAGGGAAGGAACGTTAACTTCAGCGGACCTGTTGAACATCAGTATTTGCCATACAATCGAGCACATGATGAAGCTATGCAACGGGACATAACAAAACGAAAGTAAGTTGATGTCGCTGCTGATGTGTCGCCATAGTAATTCACCTGTTTGCTTGTCATCTCCGGCGAATTTGCGGACATACTCTTCAATTTGTTCGGATGAAAAGCCCAGGATTTCAAAGGTTTTGTCGAACGTAAGATGTGAGATGCTTGATAACGCCGTAGGTCTCGTAGTCGTCACAACGGAAGCATCTTCAAGAAGTCTCCCGGTTACGAGCCACTCATATAGGATTTGGAACGGCATTTTCTCTTCCACGCTTCCGGGACGAAAGGGCGACGCGACCATGTTTGCGTTATATTTGAATTGGTCGAATCCTTCAAAAATGATGAGAACACCTTCCGGGTGCTGCAGGATGTATTTCCAGACCTCATCATCCAAGTGATCTGATGGGGAATGTTCTGAAAGTGTGAGTAGTTCTCTTAAACTAAGTTCCTTTGACGAGTCGAATCTCTTGAATCTAACTAAGAAAGCAACATCAAAATGAATTTTAAAAACTTGATCAAACGCCCAGTCTCTGAAAAATTTAGTACAGCAAAATGTCTTGCCGATTCCGGGTCGACCAACAATCAAAACTTTTTTCGTATTAACATCGAGGAGGTCTTCCAGGCTTTTAGGTTGTGATTCCTCGCGTGACCTTGTATAAGCATGGAGTTGCTGTTGCCTGTCTGCAGTAAAGTTGTAGATAGCCCTGTTGGGGATGACTACAAACTTGGTGTAAATCTCATCCATAGTGAATTCTCTAGCTCCTGATGGTTCGCCTGGAGGACCTGCAAATGGTGCGTGGAGTTCGGGGAGACGACGGGTGTCACTTTTGATTATTTTCTTTGTTTGCTCGATGAATCGTCGAAGCCGTTCGGGGTTGCGATGTCGGCTCCTTCCCTCAACTTCTCCATTTGGCCGTCGAGGTTCTGGATGCAACTCGCTTTGGTTTCGTGGACGTGATAGGACATTATCACCTTGGGTCGGACGGCTTTCACACTCACGTGACTGTAGTGGAACAGTCTCGTGTTCTGTTCTTCGTTCTTGCCTTTGAGGTCTCTGATGCGACATGCCATAGCTGGGATTAAGATGGGTTCTTAGAAACTTTGAGTTTTCCATGAAACTCCTTTGTTTCCATGCCCGTAACAAAATGTAGACGGTTTCAATCAGAATGAGAGCGACGAGAATTCCATTCACTGCAAGGACAGCTTTCAACCAGAAGTTTTTCCTTTGTGCTCGCTGATTGTGACAATCGTGAAAAGTAGAGGTTTGGACAGCGTTAGATGAAGCATTTGGTTGACTGGTTTCAGAGGTTAAATGACAGTAAAACCCAGAAGAAAACTTTGAAGAATAAAGAAACTGAGTTTGTAGGACCATGAAGAGGACATGTAAAACAAGTCTCGTGAATAGTTGACAACAAAAAGCGACAAAAAGTTTGTATCGATTTGTTGTCGGGTTCTCTTGGTCCAGCGGCTGTATCTCGGGATCTCTGTAACGAGTGTCCGGCGACAGATGAACGATTGTACGTCTCACTAGTCGGTGGTAAATAACACATACAAAGGCAATAAGAAAGTAATTGATGATCACGAAGCCATAAGGTGGGAAACCGTATTTGTTGTTCTCCTTTTTGTATTTCTCGAAACATCTTTTTCGGACGTCGTCGAGGTTTTCAAGCTCCGCTGCATCACAATGGAAATCTAACCTGCCTTCGGTGTTTTCCATATCGGAAAAAATGCCAAGAAAGATGACACCCATCATGAACCAAATTACAACTCCGACATGGCTGATTCTGTTGAAGGCGTTTGGGGAAAATAACTCCTTTATACAATCCATTGTTTCAATACTCAGTCTGTCGATCGCTCTTTAACTTAACTTGTGGGCTTTCAGTCACTCGTTGCTTCAGAATTTAAGTTTACTTCTGGACGAAACTGAAATTTTGACTCTTCACAAAGACATTTTCTCCGCCACGTGGGGAACCGATGACGGAAACTGAAGCAGAAAAATGAAATATACAGATATAAGTTGCTGATGCGTAAAATACTATAAAAAGTCTTATGCTATAGAGGCGCCAAAGGAACAAGTAGGAGAAAGACGTGGATTTCGCTTTCTGAGGCAAATAATACGTTTCGTATCGTAGAATGAATGATCACTTATTAAGGCCACGGCTTTTTATTGAGTATGAAAGCTTCCCAATGTGAATTTTATTTTCCAAGTCGGGAGTTTGCAATAATTCATGTTTTCTATTTGGAGAGCGTGCCATATCAGTGAGGAAATGAAAGAAATTTCCGTTGGAAAGTAAAACCATGCATTTCTGACCGTCACGATATGTTCTCCACTGGAGTACTTTTTAGCGATTTGTATAACAGCGAAGTAACCTTTTATTTTCCAAATGACAATGACCACTCTAATAATATACCGGCTCGTTTCTCTTGTTTTAAAAAGATGCTTACTCGTCTGAAGTAAAACTACATTCAGCTCCTCTACACGACGTTCTCGTTGTGGTTTACAGTCAACTTGTCAAAGATGTAAGAATCTTATAATCTAATGCACACTTGAATATACCAAATTAACTACTACGAAGAAGTCGAGGCTGGACTCAACTCCGAAGAACATCCAGACGAACATCAGACACACGTTAGATACTCCTCGGGGTTCTTATTTCGTTATATAGTCGAACCTGTATTAGGCGGCACCGCAATAAGCGATCACCCTCTATTCAGCGGTCAACTGTGAAAGTTTCTATTAAGAGGTCGCCCGCCTGTACTGAACGGTCACTGAGAGCGGGACCATTGAATATAAAACTAAGAATAATCTTTCACGCAAATTTTTATCCACGTTTCTCTCCCAAAATAAATTAAGTGGTATTTCCGAGCGAGATTCTGTACATTGAGTGGTAAATTATGGCATAAAGTGATGTTAATTAACGTTTTTATGGTTACTACCTCCCAATGAATGCGAAGCCATGATACTGTCCTTTTCTGAGTACGTGAGAGAGAAAGAGAGAGAAAGAGAGCGAGAGAGCGAGAGAGAGAGAGAGAGAACCAAGACTAACAATAGGATACTAACGACTTTTTGGCACACAACGAGGGCTGCGGAGTATTACTCGATTTTCCTTGCTCTTGGCTTGTTTGTTTGTTTCAGAACATCTTCGGTTGTTCAACGCTTGGTGATGGTTTCTGCGAATAGCTTCGAATGTTTCTCGGTATTAGCACGTTATCACACTGTTTTCCGATGCCACTCATGTTTTGTTTCAGCGTACTACAGAAGACGATTGACTTCTCTAATTGATTTTACGATGGCGCGTAAAAAAAAACACACACAAAGCTTTTCCTCGCAGAGAGGTCTTTACGAGCGCCATCGACGCATCATGAAAACTTACAGGAAATTCCTGTTTTTGAATAGAAAGCATTTTACCGTTTGAATCAGCGAATTATGCCCCGCAGATTCGAAGATATAATTTTTTCAGTTCTTGTCGGATGGCAAGTAATTGAAAACGAGACTTTTCCTTCAAGTAATATCAAAATAGGTTTGGTCTGCACATCGAAATGAGAGCATTTTACCATTTCAATCCTTGCTTTAAATTCGTCCCTTGAACAAATGCTATTTCTGACAAATGAGCTTGCGAAACCGGCTGAAATAACTTTTTTCCGTTACGAATCATTGCTCTACCAAAGTACTAGGCCTTACAAAGCCACGGAAAAGGCCTCGGCAGTTAACCACACAAGCTTTCTAGAGGGCTACCATTCTGTGGTAAATCAAAGATGTGGATCAACTTATCAACTTGATAAAACAGAACACTTTTACTAACAAAAGATTATCAGTATTAAATATAATTTTAAGGTCAGGTCAAATTAGCTCCTTTGTGACAGTACAACATGGCTACACTGATAATGAGAAAGAGGAGAAATTGGAACGTATACACCATATTATTCTGTTTCCTTATTCTCGGTTCCAAATAATTATTTATCATTAGTTTCTAATTTTGATCTATATTTAATTCATATTTTATTTTGGATAGTTTAGTTAGGTGTCCCCTATTAGCAGTGGCGAATTCCTACTGCTAGATCAAATAGACATGTTCATAAAGTCATTATTTTGATTATTTGGTAGTCAATTACCTATTCTTAATTGTTCTGCTAAATATGGGTTTGATTGTTTTCTACTTGGGATCAATCCTGCAGCTGACAGCTCTTAATTTCAACTATAACCTTTGAAGGGAAACAAAGGTGGATAATCAAGACCAGCTATGTCTTTGGGTAACCTACCCAAAGTAAAAGGATGTAGGGGGAAATGTCAAGCATCGAATTATGGTGAAGTTTTGCTTATTACACAGTTCATGCAAAAACATATAGGTTTCAATGTGAAAGTGGGTGCTGGCGTCAGAGCTCCTATGAGTTCTGGCATTTGTTACGTTCTTTTCTTAACTCAAGAAAAAAATTTTGAGGCTCTGTTGTTGTTTCACAAAAGCCCTTTAAAACTAAAATAGTTGGAAAAATCATAATTCTCTTTTGAAAAGCCACACCAACCCCTATTATACCATTTATTTCACATCATATTATCAGTATTTTCTTCAAGCTCTGACGCCAGGACCTACTTTCACATTGAAACTATGTTGGTGAGAAGACACTGGAAAATTTTTCAAAGTAAACTTTTTCATTGCTGTTCTGTAATATTTCTTTTTAAGACGGTTAAGTACTTTTGTAACCAAAATTCTAGATGGTTACTCCATCTCTTTTAAACTTTCTTTTAAAAGTTGACTTTAAAAAAAGTTTGGTGGGCTAGGAAAGCCTCTTTTGATGAAACATGTTTCTTTGGTTGTCAATATCACAGGAGTATGATTTATTTTCTCAAGTCCACAAAACAATTCACTTAATTCAGTAGGGATAATTTCAAATTTTCACATGTCAGTTCATTTGCTAGAGAACAAAAGAATGTCCCAAGTTCAACCAAATCTTCAAATTTTAATACAGTTGCTGTGCTATTAGAATTTGGCATACCATCACCGCTTCTAACACGAGGGTCAAAAGTATAATATGAACCATTTGATTCACTTAAAATAGTCAAAGTGATATTTCTAAAGGTGACAATTGCCCACTTGTAAGCTGAACAAAAGGATAAAGGCTGTTCTTTGCATTGATAACACCTTGTCAGCGCTCTCCATATTTTTATGCTGTTAATATCAAAATCAAGCATTTGTCCTTCAAAACTCACAACCTGCCTTTTAGCAAGACCAACACATTTTGAGGAATGTTCAACGTCATTGAGCAAACGACAACATAATGTTGTGCTTGACAAGTTTTCTTTCAACTCAAAAGGTTGAACAACAATTTGACTTAACGGTCAAATGGATGCTGTCCATGGATGAAATTGACTCAGAATTTGTTTCAGAGCCCAAACAATCATCTGAGTTTTCATTTGAGTGATCCACATTTTGAATCTATGGTTGCAAGCTTTTCTTTCACCTCAACCTGCAAATGTAACTCAATAGTCGAATTATTTACCTCAATGGGCAGAGATTTTGACTCAACGATCAGGTTTAACGCCTCAACAGGTGAATACTGTGAATAATTTGTTATCGTGTCCTTGATTTCTAGCAGAGCAAGATGGCTGTACACAGCTATTGCTCGAAATCGATTGATATTTCCACATGTATTTTACCTTTGTCATCACAAGCACCCTGGATATAAAAATGCAATTGACTGCGTATGTCTCTGATCTAACATCAGACAAATTTTGGCTTTTTCTCACTATTGTAAAGAATGGGCTGCTACCTCGCTAGGGCTCGCCAGCAATAAACTTACTTAAATGCTTCCCTGTAAAAACTAATGTGCAAAATGATCAGACTTTATTTTTGTTTAGTAGCCATCTAGACACAGACTAGAATAAATTCAGTTTTGGCAAGTGGTTTTCAATTTCCAATGACCAGTTTAGCTAAAACACAAACTGAAATTATTGTAACATCTAAATTGTCACAAGCCACTTGGCTAGTAAGTTGAAAAGTTAGTGTTGAGCCCTGGCCTACCACATCTAAGCATTACTAGTAACCCCAAAACTCAAAAGATTAAAATAAATAAATAAATCATTCAGTAGTAATATTTCAACTGTTTTTCTTCACAACATGTATAGGAACATGATTATCTTATAATAAAATTAATTTAACTGTGGCTCAGATTAATTTAATCTGATCCATGTAATTTTTGGGAAGCACATCAAAATACATTTCATCAGTTATGAGTCCAACACAATGAAAGATTTGCATTCAATTTAATGTATTTAAAATGGATATTCTACCAATAATCTGCAACTTGTATGACAGTGATTAACATTTTTTACTTAAAAGACTTTAACTAAAATCATTTTTCAGAATCTAAGTCCAAACCTTGATAGAAGGCACACCATCTGCCCAATCTAGGACTAGAGCTAGTGGAGAACTAGTGATTAGCAGCAAATATAGCCATACAACCATACAAAGTGCATGAGCATACTGCTCTACTTATTACTGTGAAACTCAGAAAACCACAAACACTTTGATTTGATTCTCACAAGACACTTGTTTTCTGTCCAACACATAATTCAGGAGTGAGAAAATTTCATGGTGCTGTTATTTGTGTAATCATTACTGTCTTAAAAATGATGAACTACAACGTTTTTTGAGAAAGATTGCCACTAAATTCTCCTATTTACTCCAACAGGGCTTCAACAAAATATGACATCACAGCGTGGGAAGACGCTGAAAAACATTGTTAGCTCAATAGTTGTCGTTTGAGCAATGGTGGACGAAATTTAGCGAGTTTTAGTCAATCTTTTTTCGGACATATCTTGCCGTGATAGGTATCAACTAGACGCATATCTGCGTGAACTCGGGCTTTCAATATCGCACATCTGGAGTTATCTTTAGGGGACTGCCATATTGCCATCACTGTCGTCACGCAATTTCATCATTGCTGGTCACGAATAAGTCTACTTGTGTTTATTTTTGTCTGCTGGAGTGTAATGAATGTTATGGTACTAGACAACAATCAAAATAATATATTACCATATAGGAGTAAGTTCCTGTAGATGCCAAAGGTTGAAATTCAAGGACTTTTCAATAAAGTTTAAAGGCCACGTTTTAGAAAATTGAAGGACCACTTTTGGAAAGGTTTGCATAAGCAATTTTAAAATCATTTAATGTTGTTTCTCAGGTTTTGCATGAAAGTACTGTAATTTTCAACAAGAAAACTGCTAAAGAAAAAGCATTGCAAAAATCAAGCCTTAGTCCTCAAATTTAAGTACTTTCAAGGCCTCAAGTTTTTAATTTTTAAATTCAAGCATCTTCAAGGACTTTCAAGGCTTTTACAAACCTGAAGTAGGTAAGTAAGTACTTGTCTTTAACTGCAAGGAGAAGGGAATTTTTATCTATTATGGGTACCAAGTCAAAGTTTGTTGCCAAATGTTCACCCAAGGAGAGTTGTCAGAAATCAGTAGATTAAGGCAGTATTACTGTTCAATAGTTCATATTGTTTTTAATCAAAAAATCTCTGAATATTTAATACTGCTGATGGCCACAACAAGAGAAGCAGTGCTATTTACAGTTTTAGTATGTTCAATTAAAGGCATTCGACTTTCATTACATACCAAGAGGGAATACACATATTTTGACCTTTTTGTGGGTTTCAAAATTAATATCATACAAAAGTCTGAAAACCACA